ATGACTTAAGTCATTACCTCATGACTTAAGCAGACACTAAAATTTGACCCGAGGCTCAGAAACTTGAGAAGTAAATGAGCCTCAATGTATGTGTTTGATTTTTTTCTGCCTTTATCAGTGTTAAAAGCTGGACATTCCCTATGTGGAAGTGGAAATTCTGGTGATTGTTTGAGTCACAAGTGGAGAAAAACCCCTCTCTCTTCCCTTCATCCTTCCTGATCCACCAGTGACAGACTCTGTAACAACGTGAACACTGGCATCTACTACTGCATTGCCTGCACGCTTTCTCCAGTATTTAATTTTTATCAGGCTGAGATGAGAAAGGGTTTGCAGTGCTCACAGGAGGGGCTGGGCTATGTGTAAGGTGTCTCTACCTTCAGCAAGAGGGGCTGACCTTGCTTCAATATGGACCGTGGCTTTGGATATGCTGTTGGGAGCTCTGTGTTTGGAAAACTGCCACTTACCGCCTCAGTGGGAGTCAGTGGCAGGTGGCACCAAGCATCAGTTGCTAGTCTCCAACTGCACAATAACACCTTCTCTTATTTCCAGTCTTTTCACACCCAGTGTGTGCAGCAATGGATGGTCTTGGCTCTGAGCAGTATAGCCCTCAGAAGCTTCCTGTAGTGGTTAGTATTTCTTAAAGTCATCATAGCATTAATAGTCATTTCAGTAGTGGTATGTGTCGGACTTTTGGGAGTGGGTGATGGAGGCTACTATAAATGGTGTGACTTGAGTAAACAGCTGGGATAGAGATAGGCTCAATGCAAAAATAGTGCCAGAGCTATCAAGGTTGTCTGCCTTCAGCAACCTTCAGGATTTTTCTGCCCTGAGAGAAATGTTTATCTTGTAGAATGAATCAGTTTTGTCCTTATAAAAGCAAGCAAACCCCACAACATGGGAGTCATTGCTCTTTGCCTTCAGCCGTATGCTGGTAACCCCAACAGAAGTGGCTGTCAAATGGAGCAAAACATTACTTAAAGCTACTAGCCCCTCTATACACTTCAATTATGTTGGTTAAGTAGGGGAAAGTACCTCTAGCCAGGGTTTCCTATTCTGTAGGAGCCTGTAAAGTGTTGAGATCATATGGCGAGTGACCATGCATACATAAGCTTCTGGCAATTCCTGTTTCACTGTTTAATTAACCTGATTTCCAGAAGTATTTTTACCACCCAGTTATGTACCAGCTAAAATTTAACTCTGCAAAACCAAGCTTGGTTCCCTTATATAAACCAAGAAGTGCTGGGACTTTTGAATGCAAACAGTAATGCTGTTGTGGCAATAGAGATGCTGACTCCCATGGACAAACCCAGCACTACCCTTTGCTGACATTCCTGGCTCATGTCTGGCTGTGAAGAATGAGTCAAGCCAGGCTCTTACAACCTGTACTACCCATCATTACTCTGATCTGGAAATGGTGTTGAAGAGTGACTGTCAAATACCCTGTTACACTTTCAGTCCCAATTGCACTTCAGCTTTCTGAAAGCAAAGCACTTTGTGTCACATGTAAACTCTCTATTTTGGATTATGTGTCTGCATGCCGATTTTCCAGGAAGTCACAGAAAAGTGGGAATAAAAAAGCTACCTTTAGGTTTTTACACTTCAAACTGGAGTGGGATTTCAAAACTCAGGGTCAGCTTTGCTGCCTGTCACTTTTCAGCCAAGGTGATAAAATGCACTTGGACAGGGATTTCAAAAGCTTTCTTTTGAGCAGTAATTGTGGAAAGTTGGATTCTGTAGGATCCAAGGCTGAGCAGCCTGCAAGGAGTCTTGAAATCACCTTTGATATGCTGGGGTTCCTTCTGTATGGAAGGTTGTAAAAGCTGCCCGAGACATCAGTTTTCCCAAGAGGAACTTGGCAAACAGGCAGGAGGGTGTATGCTCTTGTTACCTCCTGTAGGCTGTAATAAATGCCAGTGGGAGTTGCATGCTTGAGGTACATGCTCAAGTACTTCCGAAAAGCATGAAACAAAGTCAGCTTATGGTCCAGAATGCTTCTTTCCTGACTAGGAAAAGCACTTGCTGAGTATGAATCTCTGGACTCCATTCCTAACTCCAGTCTCCCATGGTTTGCAGCTGGATCTTTGGACATCCTTGTTCATTCCTTCATTTTATTCAATACTGAGACCTCTGTCACCTACAGTCATGTTCTAGTGTGGTGTCTTGCAAATGGTGGGAAGATTGTGTCCTGTGGGTGTTTTGGCAGACAGGAATCACGGGTTTGGTACGGTTTGCAGCAGGTTTCTGAGAGATGTCCCTGAGACTCGTCATGTCCCTTCAAATCAATTTAGCACCAAACTCATATTGTCTCCTGAGCACTTAGGGGGATGAGACTAACCTGGCTACCTACCTGTGTACCTGGAGAGTGACCCCTCTGTAACGCACGTAGCTAGAGATGCTTTTCCATTTGCCAAATTATTAATGTTCTGACTTGCTACTCAAATTAGACCTTAATATTAAGTACACTACTTATTAATTGATAGCAACAACCAATTGCACTTGAAGATGAGTATTTTGCTTACTAACGTAATACTTTCCAGGACCTCTCAACTTTCACATCAGCTTGAACTTGCCCCTGGCTTTCTTCCTGCTTCCTTTCAAACTTGACAGCTATCAGTGGGTTTGTAGAAGCTTTTCATGTGAATGTTTGTTGTCAGGCTGCTGACGTGGTTGCTCCTCTGAGCTAATACAACTGAGAGTGTTCCCAGAAGGTTTTACTGAGACCTGGCCTCACAGCTTACACCCTGTAGCTGTTGGGTGTTTCAAATATGCATTATCTATTGCCATACCTCTGGACTGTTTATTTCTTACTCAGCTGACTGGTTTGTGGTGAATCTTTTCTTTGTTCTCTCTTTTCTTTACTTGTGGAATTCTCTCTGGGAAAGTGCAAGTGGAGAGCATATTCTGCGCATCAGTGCCTTGACACATGGGCTTGAACAAGTCAGATCTATCCTGGCTGGGCTTGAAGCTGTGGCAACAAATACACTGCTGTGGCAACAAATTGAAAAGCACTAATTAAAAGCAGTGTAATTAGTAAAACCCATCCTGGGATGCTTTTCAGGATCTTTCCTATGTTTTAACAGCAGTGTCAATAGGACGTATTGTACCTTATAGGAATAACTGAAAAAAACTCCTAGATTGAAAAGAAGAGGCATAACCTTTGTAATCTTACCAAAATAGCAGTAGGGAGCATCGAGAGTTGTCTGTGAAGGAGGATCCAACACATGTCAGATCCTTGTGTCACGTTGACAGCTCAGCTCTAGGCCTGTCTGCCTTACTGTGATGCTTTCTTCAGTGTCCTACCTGGTGGTAATTCTGCTGAGGTTTCCTCCAGTGTGGAGAAGATGCCAAGTGGACAATTTTAGCTTAATTATTAATACACTAGGAAGAGGATTTTAACTAATTACTTTCTTTTTAATTCAACTTTCGTGTCTCTACCAGTGATAGACCTTACACAGTAGAAACTGTAATGCGAACTTGGAGTTTGAGGCAGGCTTTTGAAATGCTAAGGACATCTGTTGTTAGTGCCATGGGCAGGCTCTGGAACAGACAGCACTGCTGACAGCAGACAGGAGAAGATCCGTCCGGACAGCGTTAATCACAGGCTTTGGCAGGCTGGGCATGTGAAACCAAGCACAGATGGCTGCCCATTCTGCAGTCTCTTCCTTCAAGTACAGAGTATTTGTAGCTTGGTGGTATTTTGTGAATCTGTCTCATTTTAGCACATTTTATATCCAGTGCTCTTGCCACAGTTCTTTTCTATAGTGACATTGAGCTGCGCAGAGACTTCAGAGGAGCTTCCAGTATTTGAAGTGGGCTACAAGGATGCTGGAGAGAGACTTTTCATCAGGGACTGTAGCAATAGGACAAGGGGTGATGGGTTCAAACCGACACATGGAAAGTTGAGGTTAGCTATAAGGAAGAAGTTCTTCCCTGTGAGGGTGCTGAGGCTCTGGCACAGGGTGCCCAGAGAAGCTGTGGCTGCCCCATCCCTGGCAGTGTTCAAGGCCAGGTTGGACACAGGGGCTTGGAGCAACCTGCTCTAGTGGAAGGTGTCCCTGCCTGTGGCAGGGGCTTGAAACTGGATGAGCCTAAGGTCCTTTTCAACCCAAACCATTCTGTGATTCTATGAACTGTCAGCTCGAATTTGGTTCCCCAGTGCTTTGCTCTCCCATGTTGGGTGGGATGTGTGTCCTAGTGGCTGGCATCTCATGACATTTACATGTCTTTTATTCGAAGTGTTTCCACTTAATCAGAGAAATAGACCTCTTTCAGCTTGAGTAATACTCTGTGCCTCCTTTCATCCCAATCAAAATATCATTGGGAACTTGATTAGGAAGAAATGTGATGCAGAGCATTGATGAAAATATTCTTTCACAGCTTTGCACCTGGAAATGATCCTAGAAATATCATTGTTCATTGACAACTGATTAACAGAAACTCTTTCATAGTCATTAACATTCCTGTCTGAGGCCTCTCTAATAATCAGCTGTGTCAATGCTTTCATTAGGGTAACAAAGGAGACAAGTTAAACCTCATGGCACATTTCCAGTGTCCCTGTCTAATAGAAATGTCACTGTGAAGGTCATCATCTCAGTAGCCTAATCTGAATCATGATGAATCTGAATTTGAAGTGGTGCCACCACATCAGCAAGATGCTTAGAACTTTCCTGCTGTCCTAAGTGGGGAATGAAGATCTCACCCAGCTCATCCAGGACTCCCCACATCATTGTTACCCAGGTTTGATTTAACTCATTAACTCCAGTTGGGATAACACTGAATATCCTTTATTAGTTCTGAGATGGGAGAAATTTGTTTTAGCCCACAGGCTGCTCTTTGAATACGGATGAGTCGCTTATTTATCCTTCTGTTATAAGTGATTTGTACTGGGTGCAGGTGTGCTGGTGCCCCGATGCTAACAGAAGGGGGGCCTCCGGGTAAATGGTGTTTAAAGCAAGGGCAAACACCCTAGAGAGCAGTAAGGAGTGGAGGGAGAAGCTGCTGATAGCAGCCTATGTGTAAGGTATTATTTATTAGTGAAGCAACTTTGAACTGGATGGCAACTTGTTCAAATCAAATCACTCAAGGAGTTAGGGGTGTTTGCAAGTGCTGTCTGTACTTGTGCATTCCGAAAGTGTCTAATGTAAAGATGCTGTTCTGTTGAGAGTGATCTTCATCACTACCAAAATGCTGAACTCCCTTTCTAAAGGTAGGTCTGTGTGTGCATGTGAAATGAAATTAATTAGTGAGGGTTTGCTTGCTGATTAAAATTAGTGTCTATAAATAACTTTAATGTTAAATGCTGCCTGTGCCCTGCAGAGTTGTAAGTTGTTGTTTTCTGTTAGTTCAGTGCTTAAACAGGAGTCTTAAGAGTGAGCGTAACATGATGTTTGAGTGGTTGACGGTTAACTCGGTGTCTGTACCCTGGGGGGCTATAAGGTAGTATTGCATAGAGTCCTTCTATCGAAGTCTAGCTGTGGCATAACAGTAGAACATATTCCCCCTGCTTAAAACCTGGGAAAGCTCAGAGGTAGAGTGTTCTGTTTGAGTGGGGCTACATTACCATGCCAAGCAGCCTGCTGGGACCCTGGTGTGTGCTACATGCATGTAGCAGTTAATGTACAATCAGGAAAGTTAATTCCAGTGCTCTGCGTCCATATTTTGCAAGATTATCATAGAATCACAGAACAGTTTGGGTTGGAAAAGACCTTAAAGCTCCTTCAGTTACAATTCCCTGCCATGGGGAGGGACACCTTCCATGACAGCAGGTTGCTGCAAGCCCTGTCCAACCTGGCCTTGAATTTATGCCCTTCAGTATTTGTTGCTGACAAGATTCCTTAAAGAACCTCAAGGGTTTTCCCAACATTGTAATTGTTCTGGAACAGGTATGGGATATCTGTTGGAGAAGGAAGGATATGTGTTATTTTTCAGCATGGTATGTCTTCATGCAAAGCCATTGTTTTTGCAGGCAATTACACTGTGCTAGCAGAACAAATTTCAGTGAGCAGTTGATAAAATTCATAATTAATGAGCTTTGGCTACCACAATGCTGACTCTGTTCAAAATAAGCTCATGTTTCACACTTGCTTTTCTAAATACTAATGAGTCTGCCATTACTTGAATCAAATGTCACTTAGACATATATAGCCTAAGGGAAAGTACATTCTTCAGCTGCTAAGTACCTGTTCCAGTCTGTTTTCAGGGATATGTTGATTTTGGCCTTCTGGGCACAAAGGAGTAAGAAGTGGAACTTTCTCCTCTATTCTATTTAAAATGCTTTTCTCTAGGGCAAGACAAATCTATACCAGGTGAAAGCATGAAATGTGTGAAGATGCCGATGTGAGTTGGCTGCCTTTTTTGCCATCAGTGTCTCCTTCCCATTGTTATCCTTTGTCCTGAAGGACAGACCTACAGGCCTTTGCTATGGTGTTGACAGACATCTCTTTCCCAGCTGGCTAGCAGTGCAGGTGGTGGGCTAGGAGAATTATAAGGGCTTTGAGCTCCCCATGGAAAGGGCGAGAGTAGTGTTGAAGAATCTTCTCCATAAGAACCTCGAGGGAGATACCCACATAAATACCAGGCTATTGGCTGAAAGAGAAAGCCAACCAGTGCAGGAGACAGCACAGAGAAAGAAATACAACTTTCCATGCTGGGTTAGCAGTAGAGAGTATCACCTTTCTTCTTTCTGCTGTGTTTTGCCAATGAGTGCCTTGGTATTGAAGCTGAGCTAAAGTTTTCCCTGAGCTTATGGGCTTTCTTTGGCATGTCTTGCTCAGGATCTTCTGTTTATGGTTGGCCAAATAATCAGGCCATAATGCAGAAAAGCTGATGAGCTTCAGACTATGGTAGCAATGAGTCCCATCTTGTTTTGTTGGTGAAAACAGGTGAGGAAGCGGCCAAATGGGGTGGTTGTCCTGCTTTTCAACAGTGCTACCTGGTCCTGCAAAGCATGTGGGAGATACAGATACCGGTATTAGGTATTCATGTACCTTGCCTATTGCTGCGATGTTGCCTCCTTCTCCCCAAAGCAGCCTTTTTCTGTCCCCACAAATGGCATCTTGCAAAAGGCAACCTCAGAGTGGTGCAAAGCTCATGAGCCCACGAAGAGTTCTGTGTTACTGCTTCACATGGAAATGTGTGAATTTCCCTTGTTTGGGTCTCTTCATAGGGCAAATCAAATTATACCTGGGCCTTGAAATGGCACCAAGGAAGACTTGGGCTGCATGTTCGCAAAGCAGAGGGGCCATTGGGAGGTTTCATCTGCCTGAGATGAGGCAAATATGTGCAAAGTTGGAAGGTGAGACTAATGGTAACTGAACCTTAGCCATGAAGGTGATTAACATAAAGTAAATTTTCACAGTACTCTTTCCCTCCTGTCTTCCACTCCAAGCTTAGGGATGAGCCCTGTCTACAGCTGCTTACTCCTCACCAGGCAAGAGGTATCTGCAGGTGAAGTTGCCTGCCCTGTTTCTCACTGTGCACAGTGTCATTGTGGCCAGTGGGAGAAAAGGAGACTGTGTTCACAAGGGGGTATTGAGACACTGGGGAAGGAAGAAAGAGATGCTTGTGATGCTAGCACCTGGTTTACTGGGCTAGGCTTTGCGTGTCCTGATTGTTCAGGCTGGCATTCAAGAGACTAATTGTTTGCAGAAACCTGCAGAACATGACCTGAGTATCCAGGGCTGACTTAGAACTGAGAGAATAGTCCTGAAACCATCAAAGGTGAGCCAGGAAAGCTTAGTTGGTGCAAATGGAGGAAGCCTCAGAAGTCAGCTCAAGAAGGGTTAAGAATCATGGTCTGATGAGATGCACGCATCTGTCAAGCCAAAGCAGGGGTTTTAATCTTCAAACCAGCCTTCGATTACATCTGCCCTGGCAGAGATGCTCTCATTTGTTATTTTTCATCTAAATGAATGAGGTGGTTGCCTAAAGTATGGTGAGAATGTATCACCGGGGACCTATCAGGGAGGCCAAAGCATTTTCCCTGCTTTCAGACCTTGGAGAGTGTGTCTCATAGGAAAATAATAGATATCTAAGGAGGCTGAATTCTTCTAATAAAAACTACTTCACTCCTTCCCTACTGCATCTACTGCAAATGTCTGTCTTTGGCCTGCTGCTGGTCCTGCTGATAAGAGAAGCCAGCTCTGCAATCTTATATAGCTGCATTAGGAGCCAAATAAGTTCAGGTGCTGTTGGCGCAAGTTCAGAGGAGGCCATGAGGATGATCATGGTCTGGAGCACCTCCTGTATGGAGACAGGCTGAGAACATTGGGACCGTTCAACCTGGGGAAGAGAAGCTGCATGGAGACCTCAGAGAAGCTTCCAGTGTCTGAAGGGGGCTAAAGGAATGCTGTAACTTCCACTTACCAGTGAGGTGAGGTGATGCCAGGCCAGAGACCCACAAAAGTTGCCTTCCCATGGGTGGGAATGGGCTCTTCTGAGGTGGCATAGGAAAGGAGTGACAGACTAGAAGCAGCCTCTTGAAAAGCAGAAACCCATTTGTGGGTGGGAGCAGAAGTGGGGAAGTATTGTGCGTTTGGGTCTTGGTGAGCTCTGGGACTAGTGAAAATGCCTGGGGGTGAAACTCAAGAAGCAATAGCTCTATTCAGTTGGACTGATGATCTTAAAGGTCTTTTCCAACCTAGCTGATTCTATGGTTCTATTCACCTGCTCTCTTTTCTCTTTTTAAACCCTTTTCACCTGCTTTTTTGGTTTGAAGAGTTTTACACAATCTTTGAGGTGGAGTGGAATGTTCAGTATGGGTATAAGCACCTGGTGCCTCCCACAGCCTTTTCACATGTTAGCAAAGGGTTTCATATTCCTTTAGTATCCCAGTCTCTTTGTAGTCAAATGCAATTTGCAGGGCATGAAAGAAAACCATCTTCATACAGGATTCAAAGGGAAAAGACTGAATTTTGATCTGTTCAATATATGCAGATATTGAGTGGTCTATCAAGGGGTGTGAGAGAGGAATCTGACGCTCTGTCCCATTTGTTTTAGAGGTAGAGTTTGAGCACTCTGCTATAACATTCTAACCTACAAATGAATCCCAAGAAAATGACTGTATGTAGGTCAAATCCACATGTGAACCTCCACCAAACTTGTGCTTCATTCAGCTTTTTCATTATTATCTTTATTTTCTGGGGCCTCAAGGGAGGGAAAAAAACCCTTTGATTAAGGGGAAGGGCATTTTTTTTCCAGTTTAACTTCTCACTGCCTCATCTGTAAAGCAGAAAGCTTTGTTCTTTAAAAAGGTTTGGTTTATGTATGTTTTTCACTGAAGGTTGCTAAAATCCAGCCAATCCTATTGTGGCTGTAAAGGAGACATAAAACTTCATTACAGCTGTTCCACAGAAAGCAATTCAAGTGTCCAAGGCTTAGTGCTGTGGTTCTCTCTAGAAGTGCTGCGTGCCTCTTTGCTATCCCTGTGTGGCTGCCAGGTTTAGTTCACTGTTACTGAGGCATTTCTTGTGGGATTGAAACCAATTTAAAGAGTGATGAATTAAAGGCTCTGCTTTTGAGTTAGTTCCTAAATCTTGGTTTCGTGTTCACGAGCATCCCACTCTGTGGGTTACCATGAGGTTGGGTGTACTCTTTCTCATTCTGATTTATACAGACTGCAGAGGAATTTCCATCTAATATCCTGTTTGTAGCTGAAGATCTGAAGGGTGGTTGTTTTGGGAGTGTTTTGTTTCTTCCTGAGATAGACACTGGTCAAGTGTCATCTTTTGCTGATGCTTCCCCGGTGAGGTCCAGCCCCAGGGCACTGTTTGAGACCCTGAAATACTGGGCTGCAATTAGTGTTATGTTATCTCCAGGGAGGTTCCTTTTAACTGCATTCCCATGCCAGCAAAAGGAGCTGTTGTTTGTGTGAAATAACAGTTTGGTTTACGTATTTGCATTTGTTTCCCTGCTGAATTTCTTTCCTTTATCTCTGTCACATGCAGCTGGTTTCTAGTCAGCCCTTGATGATGCTGGGCATGCTGAGAAAATAAGAGTTCCACCTGTATGTCTTGCTGCAACAGGCATTTTTGGATGTTTATGGCTGCTGCTCTGTAAGGAAAAGAGATGAAGTGGAAGGAAGTACAGAAAGTAAAATGAAGGTGTTTTCTTGTTTTTGTAGCAATATAACTCCCTCCTTTCTCCTGCGTTTTGTCCCACTACATCTCCTGGTCATTAGGAGCTTCCTGCCCCTGCTTTCCTTGCAGCGGAAGCTTATTCCTATGGAAAAAATGAACCCCAAAAAGCAAATGCCTTGGAGCAACTTCATCACATGCTTCTACACTGGACTAGCAGCAAGGTACTAATCCCTTTACCCTGGCAGACTACACACCAGGCTGCACATCCTTGGAGTTAAGTGTGAGTAGCAACCACATGGGCAACAAGCAAGCTGCCAGCACTTGGTCCATGGTTGTCCTCTGCAGGTAGCTTGGCATCTGCAGCAAGACCCCATGGTAGCAGTGTCTTGTGTGTCCCATTTCACCACTTAGCTGGGGCAAAGACTTCTGGATACAAGAGCTAAGCAGACACTCTGGAGCTGTTGCTGTGGCTATCATATCAATGCATGTGGAAGTTCTAGCATCATTTCTACCATGAAGTTATTAATGGAAATCATCATCCTCATTTAGTAGCTGCCATCACTTAGTAGATTAACCTTTATCAAGCAACTTTGCTATGTCAGCTGCACAGCAAAGTAATTACTTTTAATAGAATCTGCCCTTGATTTAAAGCCACTGGGGAAGCAATTAAATTTAACAAAGGCACAAGCCATGACTTAGAAATGAAGATGGATGGGTTTTGTTATCTGTTTCATAAATTGTATTGTGTACAAGTATTAGAAAATATTCAGTCATCTCATTTTGTGGGGTTTAAAATGTGATATTAGACTCTTACTCTAAGGATTAATTGAATGTCATCAGTGCCAGCTCTGGGACTTGGCTCAGAAATAGAGCTTAGTATCATTTATACTCAAATGACAAATGATTTGCAGAGGGCTTTGAACTTGAGCTGCCATTGGCTTCTCAGATGTGTGACATTTGCATTTAGCATGATGAGCATACTTAAGGATTTCTTGGATCACTTGATCTCTTCCCTAGGTCTATTTTATTTGGTAGCATCTTCTTTTAAAGTGAGCTGCACCACTGTACATCTATAGACTTTTTCAATTGACATTGTACTGTGTATATCACATGTACCTGTATGTCCTATGTACCTGTATGTATGCCAGCTTGCAAACAGTTCCTGAGCAACAGCTTCTGTATGCATTTATGAGCAATGCTCCGCATTCTATTGTGGAGTCCTTAGCCCCTGGTGCTGTCCCTTCGCTTGCTGCCTCTGTGATGGCTGTCAGGAATGCTGACTGTGCACATGGTTACTGGAAATGCTTTGGCCAGATGAATGGTGGGATGTGCTTAGGAAATGGGGACAAACAGTGGAGTGCAGCCCAGGCTTTCTCATAGCTGTCATATGTGAAGAGAAATCCTCTTTGTTCTGCTTTGTCTGTCAGAGCAGCTTCTCTTCACTTTGCAATACATCATATGACTCTATAACGCCAAGCTTTGGCCTTTCCCTTCAGTACTGGGCACAAGAGAAGAGCTCTTGCACTTGGATGCAAGAGCTAGAACATCCTCAGGGGTGGCTTCTGCTTTGGGAAGCAAACCAAACATCTCTAGAGAAAACTTGAGAGCCCAAGTCCTCCCTGTGAGACTGCCAAGTTCCTGAGCAGCCAGTCCTACAGCTCTGCAGCCACGCTGAAGGAAGCATGGGCACCTTGCATGACCTGCAGAGCCTTTGGCAAGTGGTCATTGTAACTGCTGCTGAGGTACCAGTAGCCATAGTTGTCCTAGGAAAACAGGAGTGTGAAGGCTGAGCTCACACAGGGCAGGGGATGGAGGCAAGGTGATCCTTGCAGGGTGTGATGCAGGTGTGGTGGCCTCTCCAAGCTCCTCTGCCATGCCTGTGCTCTGGAAAGACCTCGGTTTCATCTGGCAGCTGATTTTTAGTTAGTGCAGCTAATGCAGCAAAGAAACATCCCTTGGGAATGGAGCAGCTCATTAAGGAAGAAATAGAGTACATCCTGTGCTAGGCAGCTTTGATTACTCTTCCGGGAGCTCTGCATCACCTCTCCTCTGCTCCTGCTGGCAGACCTAAACCAGGGGTTTCATTAACTGCATTTTCCTCACTTCACACTGTGCCTCACCTGTGACATGAATTGTAGAATTACAGAATAGTTTGGGTTGGAAGGGACCTTCGTGCTATTCCTTGCATTGGGTACAGGATAAGGCTATAGCATTCCTCCTAAGACTGGTAAGGGTATCAGCTAGTTGTGACTCTCCTGGAGGGACAGAACAGCACTGACCTTTCTATTGCTTTGTTTTCCACTGCCACAAAGCTGCTTGGATTTCCTGTGATTTAGCGCCCATCTTTAGTTTTGATCCAGTTGTTTTATTCTCCTTTAGGGAGATCGTTTGCAATGGGGTGGATGGTCTTGGACTGGTGGAGTCAGTTGTTCTGTGTGCAATAAAAGGCATTTAAGGCTGCTTTTAACTATCTTTTGAAGGAAAAGGTATATACATGTTTCTGAGCAGCTCCTATGAGCAGCTCTAGTGTGGCAGGGAGCAGCTGCCTCTGCACGTGCAAGGCCAATTAAGATTTAGTGCTGCTTCAAAGCCTTCCTTTAGTCCCAAACCAGACTCCTAAAAAGCAGGAGGAAAAAAAGGCCCCACATCTGTATTACGAAGCATCTTCCAAATTAGAATTGCTTGTCCCTCTTGGAAGAATCTGAAGCTGACTGCCTGCAGCCCTATAAAGCATCACTAATCCTGCTGCAAGTCTGTTCTGAACTGAAGCCAACCTCAGAGACAGCTGCAGAGTGGCTTGGTTTGCTGCTGAACTTCAGTCCTGTGTTGGGTGAAACGGATTTTCTTCTTACTATGCTTTTACTTGGGGTACAGCTCAGGGTGAGCTTTACACCATAAGCTCTCCTAGGCTGAAGGCAAGCAAGCCAGCTCACTTTGTAGTGCAAAGCCAAAGTACCCTCTGCAAGAGATGGGTAGGCAAGAGAGAAGTGGCTGCTGCAACACCAGATGATTTTATATGACTTGATACTAAACATCATGTAGTTACACAGAGGAAGGACCCAGCTGGGTGGATGTTTAGTATAGGAGGGGTTGGACTCCAGTTACAGCCTGTCTGCAAGTTTTTGACACTTAGGAAGGGCTTAAACTCTTATGCTGGATATGGGGGGAAAAATGAGCTTTACCATGGACATGTTAATATCTTTTTACTAATGAGGGTAATACACTGACATAAGGATACCATATCTTATGTATGCAGTAGAAATGAATCTGTTTTAATTAGAGAAACCCAACATGATTAAAATCACTGTTTTGGAATCAGAGTAGCTTTTATTTGATTTAGTTTAATTGGCTTCCAAAGTGGCTGCTCTCAAAAGGATCTTCATACCCATGGTGTCTATGGAAGCCTATACTCTGAACAAACCCTTCTCTGGATGTCCTTTGGACTTGCATGTGACCAGAGGAGATACATTTACAGTAGCATACATGCAAGTAAAGAGAGCTGCCCTTCAGGCTTGATCTCACCTGAGGTGCTGTTAGAGGTAAACACTGCAGTACACAAAATCTATGCTCTTGCTGACTTCAATTGTAAAAGATAGGCACCCAGCTCTTGAGAACTGTTATAGTGCAGAGACCTTGGTAGGGGTGAATAAGGCCAGGAAACTGGTTTTGGTCAACGAGTATTTGATGAGATATTATGTGCTAGTTATCCGTAGAGCACCTAAGCAAGGCAGTTTCCATCCTGAGGAGTGATTTGCCTTGTCTGTGCTGCTGTGGCTCTGTCTTCATGCCGTTTCTCGTACCAAGTTAACTTTGGTTTCCTCCCCCTCCTCTTCTTTACCCTCAAAGCTTTAAATGGATCTATATTTAGAAGAGGCTGCACACTGCCTAAAGAGTTTCTGATAGTAAATAATTATCTTGATAGGGATTCCTGATACATATCAGGATTTTTCAGCTTCTTATGCTCTACAGTTTGAAACCTGAACAAGGTTTGTGGATTGCAGACTGGTTTGGGTTGGAAGTGACCTTAAAGCTCATCATGGCCAGGGACACCTCCCAGCTTCCTGTCTTACGTGGTCAGATGGCTGCTAGAGCAACCCTGAGAAGAGCTGCTTTGATTATACCAGCTCCTTGTTCCCGGGCATGATGCAGCTTCAGTCCAGGTTGAACGGAGCCTTGGGCAACATGGTTTAGTGTGAGCTGTTCCTGCCCATGGCAAAGGGCTGGAACAGGGTGATCTTAAGGTCCTTTCCAACCCAACCCATTCTATGATTCTATGGAGCATTGAAAGCTGGATCTTTGAAGAGCTCTTCAGTGGCCTCTTAGCTGTTTGCTTTGCAAAGCACTACTGAAATGCTGTTGTTAGGCTGACAGCAGGCACTTCTTGCAAATGAAGGGAAGACAAAGCTGATGCTTTAAAGATGTACATGGGAAGCTTTCCTGTTTTGTAATGTCTACCTGCTTTAGCACGCTATTATAGCTGGTCCTGCTTTTTCAGCACAGTGAGAGGCTGCAAGAACATAAATATTCTCTGGTGTTTGCTTCAGTTTGCATCTGGAATAGGGAGACACCACGGTGGGTAGAATTAACAGCATTGGTTGTTGAATGCTCCAGTGCTAACATTCCACAGATTATTGCATGTAAGTAGGTAGGATAGATATTAATTAAAATAGTAGTAGAAGAAGTGGAAAATCAATTGCCTGCCTCTGAGGAGCTTTCCTGTTGAGACTCTTTTAATTCTTTCTAAATCTTGGTGCCTTGCTGTGCTTGCTAAACTTCTGTTTCTGCTAGGCTGCTGTATCTCAAAGCAATTGCCCCATAAACCACCACAACAGTGGGGATGGAGAGTAGTGAATTTCAGTGGGCAACTTTAGCATGCATAAATTACAAAATGAAATGGTAAGCTTTTAAGATGCCTTGATGGAGAAATAAATATACAGCCGAAAACCATCTTGGGAAGGGGGAAAGGCACAGAACTGTCAGCTGGTGATGTATGGATGAATTTGAATTACTCTATGCATAAAACTTTTACTCTTATGAGTAAAACTAAAGAACTAAAAGAGAAGAAACTAGAACTCTCCTCATCCTTGTACCCTTTTTGAATTAGTGGCAAAAAGTGTTAGAGAATCTGTGTATTTACTTTGTCTGGATTTGAGATGCCGTGATGCTGACGATGAACTGCAAGACTTAAGGATCTGTCTGCAGGGGTTGTAAAGTATTCCCA